AATAATGATAATCCCACACATTTTTAATGCTCGATAACTTTCCGAAAATATCGAGAACCAATTTTCTGTGTATGTAAATTTCGACAACTCAATAAACACTGGCGCAATTTGAATAAATCGATACTACCTCCCTAAACGTTACTAACTACCTAAAACCGATGTTATTAATTCCATTTTAGGGCTAAATCACCGCAAGCTTGTGTATTAGGTTAACTACATACGAAGAAACGCATATGTACATACATACATACCATCTGCATAGTGGGCATATGAATACATACATATATTGTGTGTGATTCTCTCATTCAAACTTGTATGCACATAAATAGGTATGTATTTACTTAAATTACTCATTTTTAGTTCGGATAAACACTACATTTTATACAAATATACGGAAAATCATTGGTTATTGGCAACTGATAGTTGCCCTCTAGTGACTGCCAACAACAACTGCCTACAAACATGCATACATACCAGAGATGTTAATTTTTTAGATTATTACGATCCCGGGATTTTCTGGACCTCGGTACTTCAATCCCGACATCGGTCCCGGCATTTCGATATTCATTATTTTTCAACAACTTTACACCAAAAAATTGCATCAGTATTGTTTGAAAAGTTCTCCTACACGAATTAATGAGCCAAATATAGTAAAGCCGCGTTTTTTTATTTTTTCACTCTGACGTCAGGATTTTTTTAAGGACATTGAAATTTTAAAAATATGATTAATTCAAACAATTATTTAGAAAAGTCAGTGGAATGTACAATAACAATATGTGTACAATAACAAATTCTGTGGAATTGAAAAACAATTAAAGCTTATATGACTAATTCAAAAAATTATTTAAAAAAATCAATGGAATGTACAATTAAAGTATGGGTGCCAAATGAAAGAGAAATTCTGTAGAAACATTAAAGCTTTTTGGTTTTCAAGGAAGAAAAGATATTGAAAATGCGCTTTTAATTAATTTAATTTTTTAATTTAATAAAGTTAGGAAGACTGAATGTGGTCGTGTGTATATTAGTCCTTAATATAAATTTTTTCAATAATAAATATTGCACATTTTGAAATATGTTCAATGTTGGAATTTTATAAGAAATTTTCCTTATGCAGCAAAAAATTTAATATTTTTTTAATTCAATAGTATTTTCTTTCTTATTTAATACCCATATTGTTATTATACATTGCACTGAAATTTTTTTACAAATTTTTTAATTAATAATATTTTTGAAATTTTAAAGTCCTTTTAGAAATATCCTGATGATTTTATTATTATTATTTATTATTAGAATTTTGATACCGGAAATGTAAACTCGATAAACAGTATTTTTGTGCAGAACACCTTTATATTATATAACTCCGGCTAGGGCATCCACAGTATATTTGCATAGAACTCACTCCAAAATTCAAAAAGTGCATTTTTCAGACCGAATTTATAAGTAACTTAGTAATCGATAATTACAAAATTCGGTTTCACAATAAAGTGCAGACCCTTGACTACAAGTGTGTGAAAAATGTTTTGAATCGAGTTACCCATTCGGACACAATAGCCCGAAATAATTGGGCAAATAACTAAACGGTACCCAGTTAAATCGGTATTTGGTTTTCCTCAATCAACAATTACACCAAAATGACGTCACAAACAGCTGATTCTGTCAAATTCACAAAGAGCGGATTAGTGGTATCTCGATGGGCGCAATTTCTGTTTCTCTCAATCGTGGGTCATACCCTACCTTGATAATTCGTATGCCATTCAGTAAGATACTTTGATTGTCCATGTGTGTGCAAAGTTGTTTACTGAAGATAATACATAAATACTCGTTTGTTATAACTGAATCTCTGAGCGACACTCCGTGCTACCTTCTAGATGGCAAACACTTATTGATACACAAGCCCTATGGTACCAGCCGCCCCTCTCTCAGCTCCAATTAGTTGGTTACTACATCCTCACGTTTGGGTAAATGGACCCAACAAACTAATAGCACTCTTCCGGTCCTCATTCTTCATTCTTTACTGGAATTATGGCTTTAAATATTTAAGTTTTAAGGGTTAAGTGTCGCTCTATTGAGTTTTTACTTTGGTTCGTGCGTGTCTTATTACAATTAGTTCATTTTTTGCCATATTTGCCGCCCCTAATATCTGGGCGCCCTAGGCCCGGGCCTTAGGGCAAATCCGCCACTGCACACTACCGATGTTCCTAGGATAGTCAAGTGGAGATTCCATCGATCCTTGAACTGGCTTCTTTAAGTCTTACTGCTGCACTAACAGCCATCCACCAGTAATTCGACGAAGCAGAGGTACATACATACGTATGTACAAGATCGCATTTAGGCCGTATGCGGGCATGAGGCCAAGTTCTTGTCCTTCAGAGCATACTGAAGCCTATACTTTTATTTAGCCATCTAAAAAGTAAATTCATACAGCTCTCTGGCGTCGCTTTCATTTTTTCGAAAAGCTTTTTACTATACGATTTTAAAAGTCCCAATTTTAACATAAAAAATTTAATCGTAATCTCTTATATTAATATTTTTAAAAATACTGCATCTTATCTTAATGGGCCTCGAATATAGCGACGTAGTTCCGAAGATGACGAAATAGACACCAGAATCCCGAACATCTCGAGATAGTCCCCAAAACCCCGATATAGTACCGAAAACCCCGCCGTTTTTCCCGAAAATCACGAAATATTCATGCAAATCCCTAAATAGGCTCAAAATCCCGAAATTTTCTCGAGAATCCCGAAGATGCTGAGAAATTCCGAAAAAATACTTAAGCGGGTTTGGCAAGCAAAGGAGTAACTTCCATTCAAATCATTTCAACTTTTTCAAATACATATTAATCAATAGTAAAAACTACTTCGGTTTAGTGTGAAAATATATCGCTCACACTGTAGATAAGAATGTGAAAACGCTTCACTTTACTCACGCTCAAGAATATTGGAAATGAGAATTGTAAATAAGTTGAGACAATCATTACTTAAAAGCGATCGTCAGTATGTAGTATGTACAGTTCATGTGCACAAATACCGATTAGGTGTGAAAATAATTCTCTAATTTCCTATAAGAAAAAACCTATAGGCTATTTCGCCTTTGCGTTAATTATGTTTTTACTTCGTGGTGTACACTTGTTAATATTTAATTAAAAAATTAATATGCACCCAATGACTTTTAAATTCTCGAATGCATTGCAAATTTTCCACACACTATATGTGCATTCATTGAGTATAACGGCAAAGGTGTAAAACAAAAGTCATTTTTGTTTACTTCAGCTGTAAACAATAGAATGTAAATACATAGTGCAGCATGTATGGTAGTGTACTCTATTATTTTGTACTTGTGCATGATGTTTTGTAGTGATCTGTGTTTCAAATGATCCGACATAAAAGTTCGTTATCACACTCTCATTCACATTTCCCCTATATGTATGTATTTGTATTTCTTGTCTGATTGTTTGGTTGAATGTTGTCTTGTTCTGGTTTATATGTTCTTATATTGTAAAATACTTTTTTTTACAACGCTTTTATCAACTTGCAATGTTGTGTGTCCGGAAACTTTCGATGTTGTGGATCCAGAAACTTTCAATGTTGTGTGTCCGACACCATAAAAGCTTTGCTTTGAAAAGTTCCACCAAAAATGCATAGTGCATAGGGCGACATCTGTAGTGAATAGGGCGAGGTAGATGACATCTAGATGTCGCCCTATGTACTACGTTTGCTACAGCGGAAATAGACGACACGCTATTTCTTTAAATAAAATTAATTGGTGCTCGTTTGTATGTACATACATATGTAAATGCATGTGTGTGCACCTTTCTACTAATATCGTTGAATTATTTTAATATCTATTGCAAAATTTTATTCAGACAGGACTAAAAAGTAGAAAATAAATAATATAAAAAAAAAACTTTTTAATATACAACGCTTTTATAAATGGACTAAAAAGTAGAAAATAATATTTCTCAGTCCCATAGAATTTGTTTTGATAACTTTTGATTTTGAAATTTTAGCAAAAGCCATTATAAACAATCTATGAAATTGAAAATGAAAAGCGTGGGGCGCATGTAATACACTTGAATTTTTATGAAAAGTAATATATGTATGTATGTATGTGGGTATATGAATAACGACCGCTTAAAATCGATTTCAAAGCAGGGCTGCACATTAACGTTAATTTTATCAATAAACGAAAATTCAAAATCGTTTTGGTTTTTTACATCGATAATGTTAACATTATGTGTTTATCAAAAAAAATCGTTTTGTTAATTATCAGAAAAATATGTCAACAAAAAATTTTGTTTCGTTGATTATCAAAAAAAATATCAAAAAAGGAAAATTTTTTCTGCCGCAAACATAAAATTTAATAAACAGGCAAATTTTATTATTTGAAGCAATTGCGGGAATAATGGGTCGTAAAAAAGTAGGCGAATTAGTCCGATCGTGCTTTTTAGTTGGAGAGGGGTTATTTGTGTGCAAATTTTGCCAAACGAAATTAACAAGCGATCACTTGGGAAATTTCAAAAGCCATTTGATCAGAAGACATAAGGAAGCCTTTGGAAGGCTTCAGGACGAGCAAGTGCAGCAGCAACAACTACAGCAAAGCGAAAATGCTGACGACCCAGCAAGAAAAAAAATTAAAATTGAGCTTGAGCTAAGTGAAAACGACGTGCAAGATATTTGCGCGGGTTTCGTTACGGAATGCGGTGTAGCCTTAAGATTTTTTAATACCAACACTTTTCAAAAGTTATTTACGCCAATATGTCGACAATTAAGTTTGCACAAAATTACCCGTAATAATATAGGGGAGATTTTAATGCAAAAACATACAACTGAAGTTAACAATTTAAAAACAACACTAAAAAATCGCATAATATCTATAAAAATTGACAGTGCCCAGCGGCTTTTTCGTAACGTGGTATGCTTAAATGCGCAACATTTACTAAATGGAGAAATTACCATAAAAACGTAGGCAGTAAATAATTTTCGTGAAAAACACACCGCAAGAAACCTAAAAGAACTAATTTTGAAAAGTCTAGAAAGGTATGTGTCAATAATTACTTGATATTAAAGATAGCAAAGCGTTTTTTGTAGCATTAGCGTTTTCTAATTTTAAAATTAATGTACATACATACATACTTAATTACTTATCTAACTTTTGTTGAAAATTCAACATTCAAAGTTTATTTACTTATTACTTTAACTTAATAAATTTCAATAGATATGATATCACAATTAGTCAAGTGTACAGTATCACAAGTGATAACGGCAGCAACATGGTCAGCTGCGGAAACCTCCTGCAACACGAAAGTAAGGAAGTAGAAATGCCTTTACTAAATCCATCAGAAGATGTCGACGATGCCTTTTTTGAAAGTTTCGAAACCATTTTTGAAGATCTAGAATTCGACACTTGTGTTTCGCAAAATTTTCGTAAGCAATTAAATAATAATAATAGTAGCAATAAAACTAGTTTACAGTACTATAAAAAAAGAAGAAAAATGAAATAACATTAACTTAAAAAATAATAGAAAAAAAAACAAAACAAACAAATTAAATTAAAAAAATAAAATATCAATCCTAATAAAAATAACAAAATAAAAAAATATTAAAACCAAATATAGATAATTAAGAAAAAATAATAATTGTAATAAAATATATAATAATAATATAAAAAAAACAAAGTACAATTAATTTAAAAAAAAGTAAAATAAAATAATAGTAAAAATACAATAAAATAAAAAAAATAATTAAGTAAAATCAAATAAAACAAAACAAAACACAACAAAATAAAATAAAATAAAATAAAATGAAATATATATGTATATAAATCAAATAATTTTCTTAAACTGTAGGCTAGTGTTATAACAGCTATATTAATAATAGTATTGTGTACATTACATAATTTTATTTTTAGAGTCAATTGTAGTTATACGATGTGCCACGCATACCATACAGCTAAGCGTAAACGACGTTTTTAAAAATGAAGAAATTAAAAACTGTTTTAGAGAATGCCGCAATATAGTGCGAAAGCTGCGTACGCCAGCAATACACAGACTCATATCGTCGCAAAATTTATTGCCTCCCACAGCTGATTGTCCAACTCGTTGGTCTTACTCGTATGAGTTACTTAAACGGTTGAGAAACTTAGACACATTCATCTCAGAAAATATGAAAGAAGCCAATATTGACTGGTCATTTGTAGATGAATTTTTAAGCAGCTTCAGCATAATTAAAAAGACAACCGTAAAATTGCAAGAAAAAAATTTGCTATTTGGAGACTTCATTAAAACCTATTTGGAAATGATTCTTGTTGTAAAGAAAGAAGCGGACAAATATCACATTTCCAAACTTTTGTTGCAGTCTTTAAACCAGAGGAAAGATAACTTGCTCCAAAACCCAACCGTGGCGGCAGCAATCTATCTTGATCCGCGACTGAGACGGTTACTCCACAGTCCAGAATTCGCACCTTTAAAATCAGTTGCAGTAGAGCATTTGAAGGCTCTCTACTTAAAAATTCATGGAAATGACAACAATGTATGTACATATATATGTTTGATCTCTATGATTTGAAATATAAAGATACAATTGCAAGTATTCTGACATCTTTTTGCAGACGCAAGAGCCTGCTGCTAATTCAAGTAGTGAAGTACATGAAGACAGTGACAATTTGCTTGGCACACTACTAAACCAAATCTCCCAATACGAACCAAGAAGCGAAAATACCACAGAGGCATTTTCAATCATAGAAGCATTCAATGAAAATTGCGATTTGAAGGCCAATTTAGCAGACTATTGGGAGTCAAAAAAATTTACTCACAGTACCTTGTACCAGCTATACAAAATTATTCATGCAACTCCCGCTACGCAAGTTAGTGTAGAGCGGGCGTTCTCCACTTTAAAATATATAATTAATGACTATAGGTCAGGTTTGAGTGATGATATCACTGAAGCGATATTAATGTTACGGCTCAATTAGTTTTCGCATAATTTCTTAACAGCGTTTTGTTTACTATTTGTTAATTATTTAATAAAAAGAAATCCCATAATGCTACGTACTCCTACATAAATTTTGCTTACAATTTTCTTCTTAAATAATGAAACAAAAAAACTATTGATATTTCCTTTTTGATAATCAACGAAACGAAATTTTTTTCGTTAACATTTTTTTATAACTAACGAAACTATTTTTGTGTTCATATTTTGTTTATTCATAATAAGCAAATGAAATTTTTTGATAAGTTGTTTTTTTAATAAATAACGAAACGAAATTTTTTTGTTTATATAGTTATGCAGCCCTGTTTCAAAGTTCTACTTTCGCTGTAGAAATTTTAGGTCTACGTTATGTAGTTTGACTATTGTCAATTAAATCGAATGATTTGTATTGCATGCGCTCCACGCTTTTCATTTTCAATTTCATAGATTGTTTATAATGACTTTTGCTAAAATTTCAAAATCAAAAGTTATCAAAACAAATTCTATGGGACTGAGAAATATTATTTTCTACTTTTTAGTCCATTTATTAAAGCGTTGTATATTAAAAAGTTTTTTTTATATTATTTATTATGTTTCATTCTGATAAATGTATGTGTGTATGTAAATACTTATGTTCAAGGGGGCGTAAACTTGTGTAACTCGTTGTTGAATGTATGTAAAAGGGGAGCATGCGTACGTGACTCGTTGAAAAGGGAAGTGAACGAATAAGTTTTTCTGTATTGTGAAAATTTATATTTCAAGCAGAATAAAAAGATTTATTGAACAGAGCGGATGTGTATTGTTAAATTACGGCATCCTACAATAGTACATACTTAGGAAGGTATCGCTGCAACCTGTAAAGAAAGAAGGTGGATTTTAAATAACCATGTGCGAGCCTAATAAGCACGGCATTCTCATATTTTTATATTTCAAAGAATTTTCGGGAGTTCGTATTCAGGGCGGTGATAAAGAGATGTCTGGTGCTTTCAGCAAGATTCAAATCCCTTATTAGTATATGAGTAAATTTCACGAGTTGTTTTTTTAGTTTCACTGTCTTCCATCGCCACAAAAAAATATGCTAAAGCTGTCTTCTTGCATATATTCCAATCAATGCAGTTTCGGAAACAAGTACAATAAAAAATAAATCAAGTATTTGAACAATTTTAGCCTTGAAACCTTTATTCAGGCAAAAAAAGTACCAACACTACTAATTTTTTCATTGTTACGAAAAATTCCTGATTGTTTTTTTAATAAATTTGGGAAGTCTTCAAATAGAATGTTCATATTACAGGTAATGGAGGTTGACATCAAATACAACATATGTGTGAAGTTTCAAAATAAAAAAAAATTACATTGAGTAAAAGATGAATATGATTTGAGAAACCAAAATTGCATTTTCACAATTTTAATTTACACACTCGAAATTCATTCTAAAATTGTTATATACATGAAAAAAGTAACATATATTTGCATAAGGAATACTGTGTTAAAATCTTCCACGCCAATAGTTAATTACTTTTATATTATATGACTTTTAAGTTAAGGTGTGCGAGTAAACGTGTCGAAAAATGTAACAACTCGTGAGAGTTGCTCAAATGTATTTACATATTTCTGCTATCTAAAAAGCTTTTGTGCTGATCTGCAAAGTGTTTGAATATTTAACAAAGAACGTGGAACGTGTTATCAGAAAATAAAGGCCAAGGCTGTAAACACCATAGTCATAAGAATGTTTAATCGAATTTCAACAATTCCAAAACTCTTACGTCTGCAATTACCTTTCCTCTTTTTCTTTATTGGCGCTGTAACCGCCTAAGCGATTTTGGCCGAGTTCAGCAAAGCACGCCAGTCGTTGTTCCTCTGTGCCAACTGACGCCAATTGGAAATGCCAAGTGAAGCCAAGTCCTTCTCCACGTGGTCTTTCCAACGCATAGGAGGCCTTCCTCTTCCTCTGTTACCAGCATCGCGGCCCACGTTGAATATTTTCAGGGCAGGAGCGTTTCTGTCCATTCGAACGACATGGCCAAGCCAGCGGAGCCGCTGAATTTTGATTCGCTGCACTATGTCTATATCGTTGTAAAGCTCATACAGCTCATCGTTAAATCGTCTGCGATATTCGCCATAACCAAAGCGTAAAGGTTCGTAAATCTTTCGCAGAATCTTTCTCTCGAAAACTGTAAGAGCCGCCTCTTCATATGCTTTCATTGTCCAAGCCTCCGCTCCATACACCAGCACAGGCATGATGAGTGACTTATAGAGTGTGGTCTTTTTACGGCGAGAGAGGAATTTACTTCTCAATTGCCTACTCAGCCAAAAATTGCACTTGTTGGCAAGAGTGATTCTCCGTTGGATTTCAAGGCTGACATTATTATCGGTGTTGATGCTGGTTCCCAAATAAACGAAGTCGTCTACTTTTTCAAACTTGTAACTGTCAACAGTGATGTGGGTGCCAAGACGCGTATGCTCTGACTGTTTGTGTGATGACAGGAGATACTAGGTTTTGTTCTCGTTCACCACCAGACCCATTCGCTTTGCTTCTCTATCCAATCCCGAGAAGGCAGAACAGACGTTGTTTTTACCGACAGTCCCCTTGTCTGAAACCTCGTTTGGTATCAAACGGCTCGGAGAGGTCCTTCCCTATACTCATGGAGGTGGTGGTATTGTCCGACGTCATTTTACACAGCCATATGGGTTTTGACGGGATGCCAAATTCAGACATAGCGGCGTATAGGCAACTCCTTTTAGTACTATCAAAAGTGGCTTTAAAGTCGACAAATAGGTGATGAGTGCCGATCCTATTCTCGCGGGTCTATTCCACGATTTGGCGTGTGTGATCTATGGTGGATTTTCCAGACCTAAAGCCACGCTGATAAGTTCCAATCAGTTCGTTGACGGTGGGCTTGAGTCTTTCGCACAGTACACTCGATAAGACCTCACAACCTATGCTTAGAAGGCTGATTCCGCGGTGGTTGGCGCGTATGGCGGGGTCGCATCTCAAGCTATTCGCACTCACGTATTTCGGCCGCTCTCTTCTTATTGCGGCAAATACGTCTTGCTTCCTTCTTCAGTGCCTTATAACGGTCCCATATGGCTCGCGTTGCGCCTAATCGCAGCGTGGCGTATAGGCGGCGTCTTTTTTCTCTGCGGCTTCTTGACATTCCTCATCGTACCAGTTGTTCTTTCGGGCTCGCTGAAATCCAACTACTTCTTCGGCGGCGGTACCTATGATCGGGAAATGTTGGTCCACTGCTCCCGTATGTCGGATTGTTGAAGAGTGCTCTCAGAGAGGAGGTGTGTGAGTCGAGTGGCGAATAAATTTATTTTTCGATCCGAAGACAGCCATGTAGCTTGGTGGATGTTCTTATGCTGGAACCTAGTACTACATATTACCATGTTTCGGCCCCGGCGAAGTCGATCGGCCTCAGTCCGTTATCGGAAGTTCGCCGTGGAGGCTGAACTTTCCGACGGTGGTTCCAAAGATCCCTTCCTTGCTCACCTTGGCATTAAAATCGCCCAGCACGATTTTCACATCGTTTCGGGGGCAGCGCTCATATATACGTTCCAAGCGCTCATAGAAGAGATCCTTGGACACCTCATCCTTCCCTTCGTCGGGGCATGGGCGCAGATGAGCGAAGAATCTAGGTTTGATGGGGATTGTGGCTAGACATTCGTCCACCAGGGTGAACGCCAGTACTCGGCGACGAAGTCTCTCTCCTACCCCGAATCCAACACCGAATTTGCGCTCCTTTACGTGGCAACTGTAGTAGACGTCGCA